CTTGATTTCTGCACTGGAATTTCCCTTCAAATCGCTTTTCCTGACTACAACTAAAAGCAGATGTCATGTCTGGAAACCAGTTCTGAACTCAAGCCAAGGGCAGGCCAAAGTACAATTTTTGTTTTTTATTGAAATCAGCAAGCACGGTCTTGTTATGACTAAATAGAACCAGGTTCAGAAAATTTAGAAAAAACCATAGTGCATCTTAGGCTATGATATCATATCAAGTAAAAGTATCCTTTTTATCCTTTTAAATATTAAAATGACAAATATGGAAGTGGTGGGTAGTTTTTATAATTTTTACTTTCATGTATTTCATGTAAGAACTGCCTTTCTTAAACACAAATTATAAAGATAAACTAATTTCATAATTTGAAATTGTGATTTTTAAAAAATCATGATTTTTCTTCTTTTTGTTGTCTTTCTTAAATCATTAGGAAATAGACAAATGAAAATGTTTTTTCTCTTAGTCCCAGAGAATATTTATGCCCTTCAGAGGCAATCCCTTTACTCAACTTCCCTTGGAGTTTTTTCTTAACTTAAATATATGTCCACAGCAAAGAAAGGGTACAGTATTAAGCATCTGAACAATTCTTTGTTAAAGAATAATTATTTAATTCTTCAAATAATTCAGAAATAGAACTTGAAAAGTTTATATTTTTCCACAGCTATTGCTGTGAACTTTGAATCACAACAAATGTGTCTGTGTGATGCATGGTCTGTTTTTTTAATACTGTAATGCAGTTTCTTTAGCATTTCCCGAATGTGGCAGCAGCCTCCAGTCTGTACCTGCTGCAAGACTGTGAGTGCAGAAAGGCCTCCTGCTAGAAATGTTTGATGTTTCAACTGAAGGACCTGAAATGTGGGGAACCAAAGTTCTAAAGCAAGAGCACAACTGTTCCCATTTGATTTAAAGTTATATATGGTACTCTGTGAGACCATGTGAATGGTGTTAACTCCAGGGATAACACAAGGATTCTATTATCAACTTTAATAACAGCAGTTCCCTCTGTGGTACTCATTTACCTGAGATTCATTTTCCATTCATTTATAATTTCTTTTTCTCTCTGTAATGGTATTTTTAAAAGAAGCAACATATTTAGGGTTTTATTAAATTAAGACTTTGGAACTTAAAGTTTATTTTAATGAGATAATTAGTATATCATGTTTATACTTGTATGAAAGTCATTTATGTCATTGGAAACTAAGATTCTAAAATATTTTCTAAGATTTTGAGTATGCAGCTGTTCAAATAATATTTTTAGAAAAACTGTATTATCCTTAGCCTAGTTTAATGTTTAAAAAATTAGTCAAAATGGGTCACATTTTGATGAACGTATAGTAGTTACTACAGATATGATTTAAACTACTCAACCCAGTGATTTAAAATCCCTTGAAGATGAATTTAAAAGCAAGATTAAAAAATTATAAGATGATAATTTAAAGAAAAAAGAATTTAACCTAGTTTCTTTTCAGATTCTATTCATGACTTTATTTTAAAATAAAATAGTTAAAATGAGGCTAGATGACAGCTTCTAAACAAACCTCTACTGTGCATCCCCCACACGCCTGCTCTTTCGTTAACCACTTGGTATCATTTAACCACTATAACAGTTGCAATTAAGACTACCTCATAACAGAAATCTGGTCCTTGCTTATACATCAGTATACTTCCGAATACACAAATTCAAAAGAAATTTCAAAGAGTCCCGATAAAATTAGAGAATGAGTGTTCTTTTCCAACAAAATAGCATATCCTTGGCTGGCTAAGTTTACAGAGTGCACCACATGGGATTGGGGGTGATGTGGGAGGGCTGGCCTTCCTTCTTGCCCATCAGTAACTCACCTGAAGTTACACAGGCTGCGTGGCCTATTTTGCCTTCCTTTGGTAAAGTTCTGTGATTCCATGATCTTCTGATGTTGGAAGAAAATCTTGAAATAAGATGCCACTGAGAAGGCAAACATGCACGCTAGGGAGAGGTGCCTACCTCTTTCAGGTTGGAATATCCACACACCTATGATAGAGCCTCTGTTCTTTATCTACCCCACTTGGTCTGGGATAATTAATACATGAGAGTCGGGGAGAAAGGAAGGAAAAGGAAAGGAAGATGGGAGAGAGAGAGGCTGTGCTTTGTAACTCTTTTGGGTGTTAATAATTTGCATTTGGCTCTACTTCTAATGTCTGGAATCCTCCCACTCCCCCATCCCACTACTGTCACCAGAATTCAAGCTGCCCTCACCTCTCATCTGAACTACTGTAGTATCCTCCTAAGTGACCCCTCCAAATCTGCCCTTGGCCCTTCCCAGGTCTGTAAGTCATCTCCACCCAGCAGACCTGAGTAATCCTCTTTAATACCTGTATCAGGCCACTTGCCTGGGAAAAGCCACCAAGATTTTATCATCAAACCTGGAATGAAACTTAAACTCCTATCTTGTGTCCAGCCTGTTTTGCGAAACTTAACTCCGTTCAGTGTTTCACCTCAGTCACTGTCTCAGCCAGAACACCGTTTCTTTCTGTTCCTCAAACCTGCCTGCCTTGTTTCCACATTAGGACTTCACGAGCACTCCTCTCTGCTGGCCCTCCCTCACAGATTTGCACGTGGTGTTCCCTCTCTCTCTGTCTCTTACTTGCTTCATGAAAGTTTTGACCTGTTGATCATCTGCCTTTCCCTACTAGAACATTAGTGCTATGAGAACAGGGTCTGTTTTGTTCTTTGCTATAAATGCCTGATACATTCAGCCATTCAGAATTTTTGAGGACAAGTGACTGTAGTTAAACTTTCAGAAATGATGTAAGAATCATTCTATCTTAGGCATAGTGTTGGGCTCTCACTTCATTGTTTTTAGTGACTAGGTTATATGAGATCATACAAGACTATGCTTAGCATAAATGCGATCCCTTTCACAGCGGGTTATTTAAGCAGATTTGGAATTAAGTATCTATACCAGTTAGCAGTTAGTTCTACAGTCCATTCATGGATAGAAATACAATGTTGATTCCAATTAATATTAATATTTCTGTACTGCCAAGGCCATCTAACAGGTTTGTAATTGGGAGTAAAAAATGAGTAATTATATTTATTAAAGACATTTAATGCCAAATTTCTAATCTGTTCTATTTTTTGTGCTTTGTCTAAGTAATTTTGACAGTGAAATCTAAATAACTATTTTGTAATTCTTTCAATTCTTATATTGGCAACTTTATGTTCGGAATAATTTCCAGCAAGAAAATTGCTTTCGTGTACTTTATAATGCCCAATTCCATGGACATTTCTTTTGTTGTACAGATTTATGCAAGTGGTTTTATGAGATAAAGTAAAGCTTATTGGATTATTTCACCATGATAAGCATTGCTTATTTTGGTGAATATAAATGAATGAAATTGAATTATTTTAAACATATGAAGTAATTATTTGTAAACAGTAGTTTTTCACATTTGATTTGTGTTTAAATGAATTTACCTGTTGAAAAAAAGTCATATATATATATTACTTTAGAAGTCCAAATCCAAAAATAAACATTCTTCAAGGCACACAGTTCTTAGAAAGTACTTCATTAAGAAAGTCTTATAGTTCCCTGATCACTGTAAGGGATTTGAATCTTCACGTGGCATCTGTTTGGGGTTACAGGAAGGTTATGCATATGTCTAACCAATGCTTGTAAAGTGATTTAGTCTGACCTATAAGGGACCTGAAATCCTCTTGAAATGTGCCCTTACGAAAAGTAAGGTGACAAAAGAGATGATTATTTGAACGGGCTAAAGGAAGTGAGTTGATGGAAAATAAAGAACTCTGTGATTCATGGTAATATAAAAATCAGGGTATTCTGGGTATCCCAACATCTTAGCTTGAACTGAGATATGCTAAGAGCACTAATAAAGCAGAGTCTCTGCCAAACTGACAGATAGATGCTGCTAATGTGCTGTCTGCCAGGTCAAGACAGGCCTGGGAGCTAGGGGAGGACCCCACAGATGGAGAATGTGGACCTAGAAGAGGTGAGGAGGTGGTTATCTGCAGGGATTGCTTGAACTCATTAGAACTGAGATGGGAGCTAGAAATGAAAGCATCGTCTCACTCATTACACACTTTGTAATCTTGTTGATAATTTGTCTTTTACAGTTATGTAACGTGCTTTTTAAAAGATAAGGTTATACCTTAAACTTTGTTAATTACTACCACTTAATTATTCTGTTAAGTATAGACTTCACATAGATAGCCACATATCACTAGACCAAATCTATTCAAATTGTAGGGGATAGATCTTTGAATTTTTTAAAGTTACTATTTTTCTTCAAGGGGGAAGATTAAACCAAGCCCTATTTAGAAAATAAAGTCAGACACGGAGCACATAGTTACAAATGCAAGCGGCTGAAAAGGGAAAAGTCATTTTGGTTGAAAGGCAGGTGTTGAATAGCTGCTAATGGGAAGCACAGTGTTTCGAGGCTGCACCCAGAGCACGCACTTGCACGGGGGAAGCGAGGAAGCAGGTTTCACAGCCACCTTCTCCTCTGGCCTTGCCACAAATTCCTGTCCTCTTAGAAAAGTCATTTCATATCTGTGCACCTCAGACTTTCCTAATATAAAGTGAAAGGATTGGGATAGATTTTCTCTTAAGATACCTTCCTGCTCTAAATTTCCAAAATTCAATGAAAATGAAAGCCTGGTTCATAGCCGCCATGAAAGTGTACCAGGGGATTTAGATGACAGCCTAGCCAGAGCCTACATTACGCTTGATTTCTTCAGGAACATTGAGGCAAAAGGAGCACATGATGCATTCCTCATGGGACTCATGATAGAAGCGGCTCTCATATTTAAATGACACCAATTTCTCATTCCATTCACTGTCCTAGCTGTTACGTGTATGTGCTCTTTAATGCCGTCATTCTTCCTTCATGAAGTAATCCGTACTTAGGCTTCACTCCTGAAATACGAAAGTCTTTCTAGTCCTTATTAGAAATGTGCAGATGCTATGCTGACCAGTCTTATATTGTTATGTTCTAGAGACCGTGTGATTGGTTTGATGATGACTGCCTGTGATCTCTGTTCTGTGACAAAACTGTGGCCTGTTACAAAATTGACGGCAAATGACATATATGCAGAATTCTGGGCTGAGGTATGTCCTTGATTCTCTTATTAACATAGATGGTGAGGAGAAATTAAATGTATGGATAAACTGCTAAGAATACCGTGGTTGTTCATGTTGATAGTTACTTTAGAAAACTGTTGGGAATCATATACTGAAGGATTAGCAGTTATGCAGATACAAAGAGAGAATGATCATTCTTTTCCATGTTACTTGCATATGTGTCTAATTCTCTGAGCTCAACTGAAAGAGTTTAGGAACTTATTCACTGAACAATGGCGTGACAGTTATCTTACTTAACAGCTGATAGTTTGTTCATTCAGTAGGCATTGCCGGCCATCTACTTTAGACAGGCACTGGACAAAGTACTCAGAGGATCCCATAATATGGGATATATCCGCCTACAGTTAAATATTCAGGAGAATAATTGTTTTGCACCATAGACATTGAGAATATGTAAACATAATCAACAGTCACCTCACCTGTAAACTATGAGCTCCTCAGAATGTTTGGAATGTTAATTCATAATACTCCTGAAGCAACACGTAAATGACTTAGATTAACACCTTTTCTTGACTGAATTATGCAATTTATCAGTAATGTGCATTGTACTGCTCAGTCTGCTTATTGAATTGTGTGTAAGTGAGTAGAATGTAATTCTCCTACCCAGTTGAGTCACAAATACCTAGGTCTTTGCGTATTCAAAAATTACATTGTGAAAAAAACTATAACTCTTGAGTACCTCTTCTGATTTGATGAAATAAAAGTAACTTTGGAGGCCAAAGCAGCTGGTGATTCAGTCATCTGTCTCACTCATATGAAGAAAGTATGTAAAACATGAATAGCAGATCAGCCAGTTTAGTGGGAAGAGTGGATCATGTTCAATTACTTCATAGAAGTAAAGCCAACGTATTTTTTACTGTAGGAAGATCGCAGGCCTTGAGTTGATTGTACTCCTGGCATGATTTCTCCCAGAATTCCTTTACATCATGTGTGCATGGTTTCGCATGAGCTTCCTCTTTATTTTATTGTGTATGTGTCGGAACCTAGAGTGATGTAGATGTACATAGATGTACAGTTGACCCTTGAACAGCACAGGTTTGAACTGCGTGGATCCACTTCTATGCAGATACTTTTTAGAATATATTGGAAGATTTTTTTGGAGATTTGTGACAAAAATACAGAACAATATAGCCTAGAAATGTTGAAAAACTTTAATGTAGGTATGCCATAAGTGTATAAAGTATTGTAGATACTAGTCTGTCATTTGCTACCATAAAATACACACAAATATATGATAAGTTAAAGTTTATCAGAACTTATGTACACACTATTATAGACTGTGGCGAGAAATGTAAACAAACCTAAAGATGCCATATCAAAGTGTCACTGCATGAAATTCACTGTAGTACATATGGCACTACTGTAATACTTCCGTAGCAACTTCCTTTTGCTGTTGTGGTGAGCTCAAGCGTTGCAAGTATCCACTTAAAATGCTGTGCCTGAAGTACTCTGTGATGCTAACCATCTCTGAGCAGTTGTCTCCAGTAAATCATTTGCTACAGTAAAAAGTGATCTCTTGTGGTTCTGGCATATTTTTCATTGTGTTAGTGCCATACCGTAAGTCCTGAATATAACACCACGGCACCTGTACAGTTACACGAGGATGCTGGAAGTGCTCTCAAGAAGCAAAGAAAGGTCATGACATGACAAGAAAAAGTGGAGTTGCTTGATAACATTCCCTGGATTGAAGTCTGCAGCTGTGGTTGCTGACATATTAATGTAAACAAATCCCATGTAAGGATCATTTTTAAAAAGAAAAGGAAATTCATGAAACCATCTCTCCAGCTATGCCAGCAGGAGCAAAAACCTTGCACTGTTTGTGAAATAACTTTTTATCTCACACTAAAAATGCACCTTTTGTTTAGGTACAGGGTTGCTATGAGAAAGGCATAACTATAGATTCTAATATGATTTCTATATTCTAGATGAATGTGGAAAACGCGCAGTCACTAAAGGACAACTTAAAGCAAAAGGAAGGTGCAGGATTAAACGCTGGAGATTTTAATGCCAAAATGTGACCGATATGTAATGGAGACTTTTTTCCCTTCCTATTATTCACTGGTTATTCAGTCCACAGACGTTGATTTGGCTCCATGCATGCTCTTAGGTGCAGTCTTCACTGACCTCATCATAGTCCATAGGAAGAAGCAGAAATATATTCAGCAAGTCTGACAGTTGATCCCAGTATCTATAAAGTCCCGCCTTTTCTCTCCATCCTCATGAATTCCCCTGCTTTGGATCATCACCAAATCATGCCTGGGGTACTGCAACTTTCTAACTGAATCCCCCACCTTTACCTTTTAGAATCTGTGCAAAAATAATGAATAATGTGGTCTTTGGTGCCAGTTAGCTTGAGATTAAAAGTCTGCTTTGTCACTTGGTATTTAACCTCAGGCCAGTGTATCAGATAGGGATGATGATAATTCGGATTCCATCAGTACCCTGCATCAGGTCCTCTGCCGTAATCCAGACCGAAATCGACTTCTGTGTGGAGAGCCCATGTGGCCGGCCCACTGCCTGTGCAGACATATTTCCCGTCTCAGCCCCTCGCTGTCATGTAGGTCTTTGTTCCCCGCAGCCTCTGCCTGGACCGCGTTCCTGTGCTCTGCATTCTGTTACAGCCTCGGATTGGCTCAGCCCTCCCTTATAGGCATGGTCCATCACACTGGGTTCTTTTCCCTTTTAGCCTTTTTGTTTCGAGAACATATTCAAATCTGTTTGCTTAAAAGCTGCCTTGTTTGACATGTCAGGTCTTGGAGAGCAAGGGGCTTAGTATGTCTCTCTCACTTTGGATACAAAAGCAAAAAGTTTGAGACCACTGATTTTTAATTAAAGCAGTAACAATGGAGCAGCAGCTGTGCTCGAAGTGGCTTTGCTTTGTCAGGACGAGTGCTTTGGTCCTGTATATAAAAATTCCTAATTATGGTTATAGTAATTTGTTTGTAGGCCCTATTTTAGCAAGTCTGGGAAGGTTTCTAGACTGTACTTCTGATTTCTGAAAACGTGACTGACATTACTAAAATAATAAAGAGATATGAGGGAAGAGTGGGGAGTTAGGAAAAATAGGAAATCTTAAGGAAGATGATTTTAGCAAATTTAACTTAAACAACTAAAAAGCAAGATAATTTATAAAATCTGTAAACTGGGAATAAGAGATCTTAAAGTATTTCATGAGGGTTAAATGAAATAATATTTTACAAATTCCTTAGCTCAGTGCCTGCAGCACAGTGAATTTAGTAGCTATTATCTGTAATGGTAAGTCAGGTGATGTGTGTAGTCAGTTGTTCTGTCTTTGCTAGCACATTTTAGCAGACTATTGTTTATTCTTCCTCTGTAAATACTCCTCCGGAAAGCCACAGTTCACTGAGTTCCATGCATTGGAAGGTCATTTGAAAGACAGAAGGGCCTGGCGGTTATTCCGTATCTTGTTATCATTGTTCCTTCTGGCTGTTTACTGTATCTCCTCTTACTATCACATTTTTTACTAACTTCTGCAAAGTGAAACCAGTAATGATGGCTGGGTTTCTGGTCATTCAGTAGTGGAGAAAATCAAGATAAAGTACAAATAATGCTACATTAAGTTTTTCATTATTTTGACATTTTTTTCTTGGGTTAACAACCACAAATATTTGTTTTGAAGAAAATGAATGAGTAAAGGGAATAATTATATAATATGAAAATTTTGTAACAATTTGAAATTTGAGAAAGCATGATTTTCTCCCCATTTATTTTAGGGTGATGAAATGAAGAAACTGGGAATCCAGCCTATTCCTATGATGGACAGAGACAAGAAGGATGAAGTCCCACAAGGCCAGGTGTGAATCATTAGGGTAAACTATAACTGCTCAAGTCAAATGGTTTACGGTGCATCAAATCATATGTGAATGGAAAGCATATGTCATCTTACGATATGTTAAGGATAGTCGAGGCAGGTCTGGTGGTTAATTAATATAGAAACTTTAGAAATGTATCTTATAGGAGGTGAGAACTAGAAAAAGAACAGTTGTTTACCCTGGAATAATCGCTACTCAGATGAGCTTACTAAGACGCTCAGGAAAGCAGACTCTAAGAGTTTATACTTTTAATCTGGGTTTGAGCACCACCTCCAACCAGTGATTCTGTTCCCAAGGCCAGAAGCCACAGTGAGGAATCCTGAGGGTCTGGCTGCCTTGTGGACTGGAAGGACTTAGTGTTCAGGGGACAGAACCCAGAACCACTTGAAACCTTCTCCATTTAGACGGAGTTTGGGGACAATAAGACCAACATTAGGAAATCTCTGTGGATTTAAAGAATTCATCCTGCCTTTGCCATGACTCCTTTCTACAGCTGCCATGCAGTCAGTAGGCTTTCTTTCCTGACTTGAAATAGAGTGGGTGGATGAATTTGAATTGCTATATTTTTAACAAGCAGAAAATATTTTGTCATTGGCTAAACAAAGATATTTTTGGAGAGTTACATTACAGATTTTGATTCAGGTCCATTTTTTTCTGACAAATAATACTATTTTAGTACATTTTGCATTTTGTGTCAGCATAAGTTGACATTAATTATCCTCTTTCCAGGTCTCACTACATAATTTATTTTTTTTCTAATGTTTTCAGAGGTCTTGTGCCACATTGTTTTCCATCTCTGTATGTGTGGTATAACGTATTTCTGAGAGTATGGTTTTTGTTAACTAATCTAATGGCATAACGGAATTTCGTTGTGGGCAAATAATTATGATACAGATAAGTTTAGAAAATGTTTCAAAAATTCACAGCATGATGGTTTTTGATAAGTTCTCAAATTTCCCTGCTTTATTTAAAATTAATTTATACAAAATTTAGGCATGTCCACAGCTCACAGAGGGCACCAGCACAACAAAGAGGCTGAATGAATGGGCATTGCCTCCACTCATGTCCCTGTCTAGTTTTTCTGATGGCGTGCTCACTTTTCCTTCTTGATTTGAAAGGGGTCCTGAATACCCGTCGTGTTTACTGCAAATGTATTTTGCAGTTTTTGTCGCTTTTTACCAGTTTATGGAATTTTCCCATATGTGGAGTCACAGCTGTTAGTCCTTTCTGTTTGGTGTCTGCTTTTCATATTGTATTTGAAAGGTTCTTTCCCACTTTGAGATTAAATATATTTGCCTATATTTTCTTTTGTTACTTTTTTATGACTCTACATTTGATTTGTTAACTAGTTTGGAATGTATCTTGTTACATGATTTAAGGTAGATATCTAAAATTATTTTCCATCCAAATAGTTAACAGTCATCCCAACAGAATGCATGGGATAGCTGGAAATTTCTCACTGATGCTGTCGGCCTATGAGTTTTATTCTAGTGTTTTTAGTTATGATAATAGTTTGTTTTAGAATAGTCTGATTTTCATTTACAAAATAAGAAAGGTTTAAAGAAAATTTTCTACAATCAGTTAATATTTTACCAACTATATTGCTTTTAAATAGTTGATTACTGTGAAATTATTTTTTGCCACAAAATGAAATGCTCTAATTTCTAATAATTAATATCTTTTTTGGGATCTTCTGCCCCATGACATCTGCTAAATATTAGAATAAAAAACCTCTGCATAAACCATAAAGTTAAAAATGGAAATAACACAGGCGCTATTCTAGTAAGAGCGCTGTGACGAAAGACTTTATAACAGAAGAAAGCAAGAAGGAACCACATAAATTAGAGCCTTCTGTATGCACTGTATGCATCTCAGTGAAATTCAGTCTTTTAAGGAAACAGGTGAGCTGTGGTTTGCTGGTCACCTCGTCTAGAGATCTGATTTTATCTTGTACATGTTGCAGCCACTTGGCCAGTGACTTATAATTAGGCAATCCGTGTTCTCTGGCTAATCATGTATCTTTTACATCTGGCCTTCAATAGGCCAGTCTGAGGTAGCATCGTTTATTTGCATGGTAACTCAGAATTCTTAATAAAATTGTTTAAAGTACTACAGATTTTAAAACTTTGAAATCTGATATATTAAAAGAACAGTAAATGGAAAGAGCTATGATAAAACCAATGACATGTATTTTAATGCAAATAAGAGGGCAGGGAGGATGAATAAAATATTGGGAGACCACACAAGGCACCGAAGCCAAGAGTAGCAGCCAGGCAGAGTATGCTGCGGTCACCCAGAGGGCAGAAAGAGCCCTGCGTGCGGAGGAATAGCAGGCTGTGCTCTCAGGTGTCTGCAAGGAAGCACTGAGGGCACCGGAGACAAGCACAGACCTTAAGTAGCCACTGGTGTATCTACTAGCAGAACGTCATTTAATGTACTTGGGTCTTAGATTTCAACAGGTATTAACTTTTGTAATATGTTTTGAATCATTATGTGTTTTATTTCTAGAATGCATTTTAAAATACACTCTATAATAGTATTCATGGAACCCAAATATCACATACAGCAAAACTAGAACATTTCATCTTATAATTAGGCTTCAGAAACAGAACATTCACTTAAGAAAGAGAAGTATCACTAGAGTCGCTAATGTGCACTTTTGTTTCTCGTCCGTGGTTTTTGCACCGAGGCAGCTTGGGTTCTACAATGCCGTAGCCATTCCCTGCTATACAACCCTTACCCAGATCCTGCCTCCCACGGAGCCGCTCCTGAAAGCATGCAGGTATGTATAACAGTTGAAGCTGTAACGATATTTTTCTAAAACCCTGAGATCTGTATAGGACTGTTTTACTCCATCGGTGTGTTGTGGGCTGTGTGTCTGTCTAGGTGTCAAGTTGTTGTGCTCAGGGGCTCAGGGCCTCCTTGCCTGGCTTTCCCAGGGGTGTGACTTATTCCCTTTGCTTCGATTCTCCTCCAAGATGGGCCTCAGGCACCTGGGGTGCTCGGGCAGCTCCTTCGGGCTGCACTCTGAAGAGAGGGACAGAGGGAACAGGCTGGGGGCTGGGGCCAGACCTAGTCAGGACCCAGATGACCAAGTGACTGGGAGGGTCTCTGTCTTGGTGTGGGGGACCTTTCCTGCTTTCTTACACCAACGTTCAGTCGGGGTGGGGTACTAGTTGTTTCTTTCAGAAAGGGAGTTTGTGCACTCCTTGCAATGCCAACTTAGTTTCAGGCCTTATGAGAGCTGCATCTGTGCTGAGGGGACCTTGTGACTGGAGTCCTCTGACCTGGGATAGAAAAGTCTCGGCCAGGGTGCCTCATTCTGCGAAGTGACGGATGGAGTGGGTCCTGTAAGAGGAAGAGGGCCCCAGTCTGTCCCTGCGCAGTACACTATGCATCTGTGAAGAGTGTCTATTTGTATAAAGTCTTTCAAGTGTATGTGAAGTGTCTATTCATATAAAGTCCTTCATACACCAAAAAGGAGGAAAATGTTTTTATGATTATTTTGTGGAGGACCTGCCCAATGCTGTTTTTAAAAAGACAACGCAGTGGTGTCTATTCAGGATGCCTGTGCAGGAGGAGGCTGACTAAATCCCACAGGTTCTTGTTTAATGGAAGAAGGGGACCTTAAGTGGATAAGCCCTTCCTCTTTAAGTCTATTTTTTTTTTTTTTTTGCCTTCCGAAAAGACATTTAAGCCATCTGTTATCTTCTAGAGTCATATTTCTCCCTATTCCTTCCTCATCCTTTTTAAGAGTGAACTCAGTTAAGAACCTTGGATAGTTTTAAAGATTTTCATTTTACTTTATGAATTACCTCTGAGGAAGTCAAAGGGTGACAGCCAGCAGCCATGCATGTGAGTCCTTTGCAGGTGAATTGGCTCAGGGCCATGTTTTAACTTCTAAGCCATAGCTACGCCTGGGCCGGGTGGAGTGGAGACACTGTAGGAGGGCGGAGGACAGATGCTGGCCAGGGAGTTTTACACAAAACCAGAAACTTAATATACTCTTAATTTCTGCTGTCGAAACATTTTTTTTTTTTTTTACTTTTTTCAAGGAAAACAAGACCAATAAGCAACATTCAAAAGTTTATATATATATGGTATTTAAGAGATGGTTTCTCCTTCGTCCCTGCTTCTGTGGAGACGAATGTAGCATCCCACCTTGTTTTGTTGAGCCTTAATCGACCTTAATCCCTGGTGCGTTTATTAAAGTCTTAACTTACTGCAAAGGCCTAAGTCATCATAGGAAATACAGAGTGTGATTTCAGATGATACTCGAGATAATTGGGTTATAAAAGTGTGTGTAGAATTAAAGAGAAAGTGGAATATCAATGTAAATTCCAAGATGTTTTAAAAAACTAGGCCATCTTCAAAAGTCCTTTCTGTCCAGAAATCCTGTGTGTTTTACACCAGGTATTTGGAAGCCAGGGCATGAGTGTTGACTATGCGTGCCCAGCTCTGCAGGGAGCTGTGGAGGCACCTTCCCAGTGGAGCTCTGAGAACAGTGTTCACGTGTGGGCAGCTCCGCCGCACTCCTGCTGCCGGAATACTTGGCTGGACCACAGAATCTCTCCACGGCCATTTGAATCTTATTAACACTTAAAAAGTTTACGATGTATCATTGATGTTCAAGGAAACATACCAAAATTAGTGTATGGCTTTTTCCAATATATCAGAAAGTTTCTAGGTCTGGAAAAATGATACTTGATGATAGGTTACAAAGGTTAAAAGGGCCTTACTTTTCAGTTATATTTTAGGGTTTTGTCTATCTGAATGTGGCTTAGCCTGTTTGCTAAAATAAATTTGAGAGAATTTTGAAACTGTGCCTCATAGGAGTTTTGTGTTTGCCAATACCAAGATTCCCTTGTGACTTTACACCGGAAAGTGGCCAAGAGCCCTGCTGGGGTAGCCTTGTGGAGTCAGATGGTTGTGCGGTGGTTGTGATCATGCAGTTAGAGATGACAGTGCCCGTGACACCTGAACCACAGACACTGCAAGAGAAAGAGGAGAGGACTAGAGACATGAGGCTGCCTCGGGTGAGGTGTTAGCAGAGCACAAGCACAGTTTTACTGTGACAAGAAAATTTCAAAAGTTTGTGCCAGGCGTAACTTAGGATGACTATATATGACACAGTGTTCAGAATAAGAACCAGTGTAAGGTAAGGAGGTTAGAGCCCTCCAGGGAGACGCACTCTCCGCACTTCTCAGTAGGAAGGTTCGTGTTGTCACCCAGTATTCCTCCTGCTGTGGCATCTCCTCCTTTCCACCACCCCGCAGATTCCTCAGAAGTACACCCTAGGGTTCTTTCCCTGTTCAAGGTCATCCTTCTTACTAAGAAAGGACATGCGCTCAGCCTTAGCATTGTTGCTGCTCTTGTGGGCCAGAGCAGATGAGCCAAGATGCCCCTGACCCCTGCTGCCACTGAGTCTCTTTCCTGGGCAGCCGTCACAAGAGCCCGCCTGGCCGTGTCACACTAGTGACCATCAGCTGTCAGAGGGCCTCACAAAATGCCGCTGTGCAGAGCTATGGCACAGAACTGTTTGGTTAGTGTTCAAGACAAAGTCCAGAACTCCTTTAATAAGCTTCACCTGAAACTGCATCTTTGATCCCTAGGGATAATCTCAGTCAGTGGGAGAAGGTGATTCGAGGGGAGGAGACCGCAACTTGGATTTCATCCCCCTCCGTGGCTCAGAAGGCAGCCGCATGTGAAGACTGAGCCCTGATCACCCGACACGCTGTCCCACCCACAGATCCTCATCTTGCTTCTTTGACATTTTTCCTTTTTTGGGGGGGTGGGGGGAACCTACACCTGGTAACTGGGGTGCAGACCTCTTCAAGAAGGTAGCGTCAAGTAAATAAGTCAAGCAAAGGACTTCCTGCCAGTCACTTCTGTGAGGCATCATAGACACTGAACAACCAGGACCACCCCATGTTCAGAAATCAGCTGGCCAAGTGACTCCATTTGACTTGCAAACCAGCCTTTTCTAATAGGCTGATATTGCTGAGGCCTTAATGGAAATGGACAAAAATTCTTCAGAAGGGCAGGCATGTGCGCTCCCTAACGGGCAAGCGGTTGCAAGGCGCGCTGGCACCGGCGGTTAGCTGTTTCGGTTTGCGCGTAAAGGGCGAGTCTGGCTACCCAAGGCAGGATTTCCAGCGGGGGCGCACAAGCCTGGGGAGGGGAGATGGAAGCCGCAGCGACTCTGAAGGCAGCTCCAGGCTGGCTAAAGCGCTCCCTGGTTCGGAAACCGAGGCCTGAGTGCTCGGGCTCCACCTGGCCTGGTTCAGCCCGCGACCCACGCAGCTCTGGATTCCAGGCAGGAAGCTCGAGGGTCAGGGAAGGCACCTCTGCCGGTGAATTATTCACCCCGTATTGAGTTATTGTGACGCCCTGTGGCTTTGGGAAACCTCTCCACAACCAAGTGGAGCCACAGCTCTCCGCTAACGAAGACATCTCGCTCTGTCGCCCAGGATGGAGTGCAGTGGAGCGATCTCGGCTTATTGCAGCATCCGCCTCCCGGGTTCAGGTGATTCTCCAGCCTCAGCTTCCCAGGTAGCTGGGACTACGGTCGTGGGCCACTACACCCGGCTGGCCTAAAATTTCTGAGTGAAACAATTGCTTAAGATTTTAGAATCAATTTCCCTTATTCTTATTCTCTCTGCAGTTTAAAAAACAATGTCTAACCCAGCAACGAGCTTTTGACGGTATGTCTCATTTTGAAAGGAATATGAGATCATTGAGTTGGACCCAGAGAAACAACTCAGAGAAAACTTCCATTAATGAGAACCCAAAAGCTGATGGCCAGACAAAAGGATGAGAGGAAATGCTGGACCTCCAGTTTCTTATTAATGGCTCAGCTTTTTTTTTTTTTTAGCTTTCAAAATGTATTTTAATCTCATTCCAAAAAGAAAGAAAATTTCTAGATACAAAAAAATATATATATAGTCAGAAGGGGCACTTTTCCATTGTATCTTTCTAATCGGGATTGAAAGTGGTGCCATTAGGGTGTTGCACGTGGGCTCTGACATCAGTGCTGCTTTGATGCTGTTGGTTATAAATAGGAATTTTTACACATTACTATCGTGAATGTTCATGTGTGACCTGCTTGTAATTAACTTGAGTTGTAGTCCACAGCCTCAGGACAAATGTCATTGAGGTTACAGAGTAAGCAGTGATGGGAAAACGTCAAATTCTTATTTCAGAGTTTCATGAATTTAGTTAGACAGACTAAACATATTCTTTTAAGTTCAAACTAAAGGGCTGAGTTGAGTACATTTAACACTAAAAGAAGTAGACCTTAAGAGACGAGGTATGCGTTACAACAAATCTCAGAACTTCAAGCATCAGTTCAAAAGATGACAATTTTTAAATTTTTTTTCGTTGATGTCTTGGCAGTTTTACTGAACCCTTTGCATAAAGAACAAAATAAAAGCAAGGCACTGTAAATTTTTTTAACAGACAACTCTTATGGATATAAAGTGTAAATTTTTCACAATGATTTCTTTGTATTTTCACTTTGTGTCATTGCAGAATTTTAGACTCACATTTACAATGAAAGGTTTATTCGTAACATGGTTTAATTAAAGTACCACACATTTCTTTTTTAAACATCAAACCATAAAATGTGTCTTTTGTGATTTTACTTTGACCTGCTGCATTCACCTCTCATTTATCTCTTTCCACATGCTGCATGGTCATATTTCATGAGCTTTCTGTCCATGGCACAGAAACAGAAGCAGGAAGTAGGACAATCATGTTGGACCTTGTCTCCGTTCTCTTTACTCTTCTCGCAGATCAAATCACTCCATAGAAACCTGTGGTTTCTTCTGCATGGCTTTTTGGTTGACTAGTATTACTATACAATGTAAGTGTTTTGAACAATACAAAAATAATACTCTGCACCCCTTCCTACAGAGATGGTAAGGTAGTCACTTCTGGTGTGTATTAATACTTTAAAGATTTTTAGCACAATGACACAGTAACCTCCAACCCTATTTCTAACCTGAAGGAATCAGACAGAGACTCACTCAGCAGGTGACAGGCCAATCATAATGGATAACTTACTCACTTTTCACGTGGCAGGAAACTGGAATATCACTTTTAATAAAATAAAATTGAAAAAATGCTTCTACATATTTAATACCATAGGCATTTTGTTCAGATGAGCCTGGTTTGTGCAAAATGAAATCAGAGGCATCTACAGCATGGTTTATTTATGTTGTAGCAGAGTTGGCTCTACATAAGCACTGTTATTATTTGAAAATTAACACTGTGTCCAGTTTTCTTCTGGGCTTCTGAAAGTTGCCATCTTCCCTACATGGAGCTCCATTTGCTATTTTAATTATACACTATGACATAAAAGGTAATAACTAAAGGAAGAGAAATACCACTGTGGCTAGATGTATACACACACATATATCTGTGGAAGGATGTAATATACATAGAACACACACATAGATGTATATAGGATGCACACTCATATGTATGTAGACATATACATACATGTATATATGATACACGCATGGATGAGAGACAGAAGGAAGGAGAGGAAGAGAGAATCAAACATGTCGGAAAAAATACAAATCAGCCCGTTCTTCCATTCCTTAAAAACAATGACTTTGCTTGATGGAAAATGCATATTACTTGATAGTTGACAAGAAAGTGTCATTTTTTGTTAGTGTATTCATATAATTGAATTTGAACAAGTTGCATATTTTTCTGCATACAAATTTATGAAGCTGGATTCTACCACATACAACTTAATTCACAAAAGTTAATTTAGTCATCTAATTTAACTTGGGAAAGGATATGTTATTTAATATTATTGTTTACAAAAATTTTAAAAGAGTATATGACTTCCGTTTTTTAATATAGAAAATAATTATGGAGTTAGGACTCTCATGGCTACTTTTACATTTTTAGGTTATTACAAAAAATTCTCTTAATTTATTATAGGCAAGTGTATTATGTCATCTCTATTTTGAACAGTTTCCCAAAGGAATGTGATTGGATTTACTGGTTGGTTAATTTCTTGGAAATATTGTCATAGTAGAAGCACAGCTTGAACGAAAGACTGTATTTTGATATAAACTGTCAGTATTGCTTGTACCACGTGTAAGATTTACTTAGTAATCACAGATGTATGTAAAATAAAAGGACCTAGGATGCAGGAATATTTAGTTAATAATTTGTTTTGAAAAACATGCAGTTAGGAATATTTTTGTATTTTGTCAGATATGTTTAGCAGAGTTCTATTTCTTGTCTGAGTTCTATTTCTTGTCTTTTTCCCAGATCTTTTCTTAAAAGAAAAATATGACACCAGAAGCCAAGACATGGTTTTTACTAACAGCAGTTTTGATGAGTTCTTATTAAGGTCATATTGTATTGCACCAAATTTTCCACCCAGTGTAAATTTAGTAACCAGCTATGAGGATATGTAGGATATTCAATTTGCAGAAATTTATATTGGCTATGTTGATTTGTAATAGACAAGTTTTATAGTCATATGCAATTATCCCATTACCTTTTGGACATAGCAAATATGTTTTTTAGCTAAAAATGTCCTTGGAAACATAAATGCCTGCCAATAACATGAAATATTGAATTTGGGCAATGTGAATTAATTAATTAGAAAGGGTCAAAGGAAACGCAATGGATGTGGCAACTAATTCTTAAAAACATCCCTATTACTAGGGCAGGGACTCTGATCCATTTCCCACCTGTGCTTCTCTCTAAGAGGTGTATGAAAAACCCATCTTGCAACATAGACCAAAATATTAGACACAATTGTTCCCATTCCTGACTCTTCAATGGAAGGAAGGTACAGATGTTTACAAGGGTGCCCCACATGACTTGTTCTCACCACAACAAAAGCAATGAATTGGAAACTAGATTTGTTCAGTATAGGTTTCCTCTTTTTTGGCATGCTTTTTAGATTTTATTTTCATTTTGTAAAATCTCAGTTAATTTTTCTTTACTGATATATTCGTGTATATGAGACATGTTTGTACAGGATATAAGTAGATGCATAAATCCTTAGATACCTGGGTTTTTTTTTTAATAGGTTTAGGTTTGGGTATTGTGTTTCTGGTCTTTTAACACAAAATTAAGGTTTGAGCTTTAATAGGACTAAATTATTCACCATGCCTTGGCCTGTGCCTTTATTTTAAATACTGCAATTTTACTACTTCATTCTTATATTTATTATTTTGCTTTTCTTGCTTAACTATAATTGAAAACATTTATAGGCACTCATCTACAGTTCATTCTATCAAGTTGGATGAATAGGACCATTCTCTCTTCATCAGATTTCTGTCCTTTATTTGACTTCATTAACAAATACCCTGGTGACTATAACCAACGAACTGTTCAGATTCAGTCTCTTCTGCAAGAACTTCAAAGAACTGTGACTGGTTATGGTGTGATTTTGGGGGGTTTCCCGTACCTAAGCATGATTTAGATTTTTAAAATCACTTCTCTCTACATATTTCAAACATATGTTTGCTTTCTACACTTTGCAGATTTTATTTAGGATTTAATTCTTTAAAGACTATATTCATTTAATCACTATAGTGGATCTCTTCTATTGCAAGTATTGCTCTGATTTTTAAATTGCTGTAAAATGTAAATCAGCCGAGTATGTCATCTGTTAGAGTTTCCCCATGCTTTCAGTGCATGGCTGTGAGATTTTTACATGTGCGTAAGTATTTCGCCAATACACGTATTGCTGACTTCTTTAGCCATTTATATTACGTTTCAATTAGTAATATCCAATGCAGTGCATACTTTTTTGTTCTTTTTTTCAACGGAATAGTTTGGTTGTCTGAAGCATTGGATGCATTTTATATGATAAAAATGGCAAGAAAAATAAGAAAATGTCAGCAGTGTGCTTATTCTAAATTAAGAAGATAGAACAAAGAGAAAGACACCAATGTCACCCGAGGAACACATTTAACATTCAAAGAAGCAATGCTGTCCTCACTTGATGTTTCTCTTCTCAACCCAGAAATGGAGAGCAGGGCTGGCAAAGCCCCAGAGAGCCCGCCTGCTCCTTCCTGCCAGTGGGAGGAAAGTAACCAATGGCACGAAGAGCCAGGCATGGCCCTGTGGGGCGAAGGATAATGTCACCTCAGGACCAAGGTGGAAACTTAGAGCTGAATCCAGGGTTGCTAAGTAGGGAAGTCAGTTTACACATTTAAATTTTCATCTGATATTTTTGAGGTACTGCGTGTTTGCGAAAGTTTAAGTAGAAAGGTTTTGTTTCTATTGCAAGTTCTAAAAGTATTATCTAATACTCTAGCCCAGCTGAAATACCATATCATGGGCGTTACGGCCTTCGTCTTTTTCTCTAGTCACCTTAATGCCCAGTGCTATGCTGTATCACAAATAGCCTATATAAGTGACATGTAGGAATGTTATTTTCCATATGGTCTGTTGTATGGTGTATACGCTATGTGTTTATTTCGTGTGCAAGTTGAGAGTGCAATAGACTTACCCAGAGAAGGTGTTTGTATACAAGGCCCCTACCTATTTGAAATTACATACTTGCCCAACACACTGTGAAATAGTTACCAAAATTTGTACAAGTGCAGCACCGTCATTCTTTCTGAGAAGACAAAATGGCTTTCTTTACATGAACATATGAACAACAGAGATCCTAGATCTATATGTAGCTAAGGCATCTAAGAGTTTGCTGTTGATAACCTTGCTGACCAAAAACTACTGGAGAGTGATACAGGTTACAAACCATCGAGAATCCAGTGCTCATAAAGAACTGACTTATGAAGACAATGAATCTGTGTCCAGAATTTTAATAGGCTCTCTATTGGAAGGAGAAAGAATTTCGAGTTAACAGTATCTAACTTTATCATAGTTGATAAGTTAGGAAATTTTAAAAAATGATTTTGTATGTATGACAAAAATCTTTGTAAAATGCGCAAGTGCAATAATTTAAAGAGGTCTTAACTTTGCATTTATAAATTATAAATATTGTACATGTGTGTAATTTTTTCATGTATTCATTTGCAGTCTTTGTATTTAAAAAATTTACAGTTATGTTTGTATAATAGAACAGTAATCATTTACTATTATCTAAGCAAGTTGTAAATAAATTCATAGTTCAAACAGCCAGTATATATGCATATATGAGTGTTATATTGCAAAATCTTTGTTTTACCTACATGGTTAGAGCAACAAGAGTTCTTTTGTTGATATGTAATTATACACATAACATATATATATGTATGATACATGAAATATATTTAGAAATGTTCATAATTTTAATGGATATCCTTTGGTGTGAATAATTGAATACAGAGTTTTTAAAATATCATCTTTCACGGATATCATTTGCTCATTTTTGGGGACGATAACAGACATTTCACAAAAGATCATTTGAAAACTCTCCAGGCCTTGTTTGCCTAGAAAGCACCAAGTGTACATTGAATTAATGTGTTTTGTTTGCTTCACTCATTTTCTAGCAGACAGCACAAGACAACATCAAATGTTAAATGTTGTACGATGATTTACTTACTGGAAGTCCGTTCTGTAATTTTAAAAGTTCAGATACTGTGTAGGGAGGCTCTGGTGCTGCAGCGATGGCTTCAGATTATGGAGCCAGCAGCACAGAATTCCTACCTGCAGGCTTCCCAGGAGCTTCCCTGGCCCTCGGAGTCTTTCTGGCAACAATGCAAACGCACACTCACTAAAAGCACACCCTCGTGAAAAGAGAAGTGCTGGACAAAACACAGTGGCGCATGTGTGTTTCTGTGTACGTGTTTGGATTCTTTCTGCTATGGGAAGGAACGCATTCAGGGCTGACACTGCACATACTGTGTACACAGTGATAAGTATACTCATGGTTTTATCTTTAAAACTCTGGATAGGCCAGACACAATGCTTCATGCCTGTAATGCCAGCACCTTGGGAGGTCAAGGAGGGCGGATCATGAGGTCAGGAGATTGAGACCATCCCGGCCAACACGGTGAAACCCGATCTCTACTAAAAATACAAAAATTAGCTGGGCATTGGGGGCATGCCTGTAGTCCCAGCTATTTGGGAGGCTGAGTGAGGCAGGAGAATCGCTTGAACCCAGGAGGCAGATGTTGCAGTGAGCTGAGATGGTACCACTGCACTCCAGCCTGGTGACAGAGTGAGATTCTGTCTCAAAAAAAAAAAAAAAAAAACCACTTGGTAAAGAAATTATGTTTTTATTTTGACTATCTCTGCCTGCCATCAGATGAGTAGGCAAATGATAAATATGTAAGATCAAAAAGTTAAATTTTATCCCTGGGTCTTCCCTAACCTTAAACATATTAGAGGTAAATGTGAGAGGTTTTTGTGTGTTTGTTTTTTAAGAGAGCTTAAATATATGAATGTTCACAGTCCTGTGAATTAGAAGGAAAAGGAAATCTCCAAAACCAGACTCTTATTAACGGAATGCCCTCTGGAGGCACAGCACTGTACATATGGTAGACAGGATTTTTGTAAATATTTATTCCCTGCGAAACAATCAAATGCTGTGCTAAAAATAAATTTTCTGAGCTAATATATCCATAAAATTAGTAATTCAAGTTGCAGATTGGCCCTCTGTAAAGCTGATCCAAATCTGAATCCTCATGATAACTATGCATACCTTTGATTTTTCCATCAACTGTAATGCAGCAGCATTGAGGAGAGTAACGTTTCTCCATCACATGTATTTCCTGATGCAAAAAGAATCCTCAGAAGCAGCACTTGTCAAACAACAGCCCACAGCTGATGCCATTCTTATAAGAGAAACTAAGCTTGATGAGACAAACCAAACAGAAGCATGCCCCTGCCCGTCTACAGCTTTCTCCTCTCCCACATCCTTCACCCACTGTCAAAGACGCCTTCCACGGCGGAGCCAGACGTTTCCTCGACAGTGACAGACTGTGACTAGAAAATCAGGAATTTATTTGAAATATCAACTTCCAAATTCCTAGCTGGCAATTGTACATATTCAGTTCATGTCTAGCTTTTCTCTGATGTCTATGTCACTAATTAGAACTCTTGCTCAAAAGGATGACCTTGGGGCATGGTAAGTAGTCATTAGAAAGAAAATAGATTCAAACATTTTAACATGCAGAATGACTAAGGTACGCAAGCATACTCATATGTATATTCATATTCAGCAAGAAAACATTTACCTTCTTTACTTTGCATTATCTAAAAAAAGCCAATATCAGACCACCCTGTTTCCTAAGTCTCCTGCATAACTGGATTATGCTCGTGAAATCAGGAATGTTAGGGGTTGGACGCAGAAGTCACGGGCACAGCCTCCCATCAGCCAATGCAAAACTCCTTACTTACCATTTCTAATAGATGCCCATTCAACAAACCATTCCTGAATTAGAGAACATTCTACCATGATCCAGCCCAGACCACTGGTTGACAGCTGTAGTTGCCAGGAAGTTCTGTCCAAAGTTGGGCTGAAACCTGTTGCTTTATGATTTCTATTCCAGCACACTAGTTCTGAGCTCGCAGCCACACAGAGACGTCTACTTCCTTTGCACCTGACAATCTTCCAGTTAATTGAAGAAGGCTATCATGCCTCCTCACGCTGAACGTGATCTTTTTTAATTGCTTTAACATACAAGTTGGCACCTGCGATATTCTTGACATGCTCCCCTGAGAAAACTGCCAGCAGCCTTCTGTTGGGTCCTTCCTTACTACAAAATAACACATTGCTAAAGTGCCTCAGCTGGGACTCAGGTGACCCCCTACCTCTCACGGCCTGTGGCTCAATCCTGGGGAATTCACATTTCTTGAGCTGTGGGGTGCACCCCACCCAGGTGGTAATAGAGGTTAGCATCTGTTAAGCACTTACTATTTGCAGACCCTCTTGAGTTCTACTCATCCCAGCTCAATCTCACGACAGTTCTATGAATTATATGGATTGGTGTCCCTCTTTTAAAAATCAAAAAAAAAAAAAAATGAAAGGCTGAGAGGTTCAGTAGCTGGTAAATGAGGATTTAGGGGTATGAACCCGAGCCCACTGAGGCTCTGAGACTGCATGTGTCAGCTCCCTGCTATCATGAAATGTGTCTTGCTTCAGTGCCTATTTGTAAAGGTTGCATCTTGGCTAAAGTAAGGCATGTAAAACATCCATTATCAAGCATGGAGTTCCTCACGAGCAACGCTCCTCTTCACTCCTTGCCTGGATGACTGCCAGTGCAGAAGTCAAAGAGAAACAAACAGCATTTTACTTTTCCTTCTCAAAATACGATTTGCAAATTCACAATAGATGAAGTATTGGGAGAAGTTTTTGTGAACATTTACAAGCTAACAATCTGGCTTAAGATGTTTTTAAGAGCCCCCAGCACTGAGGGTTGCCTGAACTGAGGAAGGAAGAAGTGTGAGAAAGAAGGCAATTCACAACAGGCTGTTTTGGAAAAGAGACCCAGCCCTGCTCTCACCCAAAGTGTGAACTGTGGGGACAGAAAAGCAAGGCAGAAGACCCCCAGAGCAGGTGCACAGACTCTAACCCAGAGGGTCCTTGTCCCTGCATTTGTTCTACAGCCATTGGTGTGCTGTATTCAGGAAACCCATCTCATGTGCAAAGACACACATAGGTTCAAAATAAAGGGATGGAGAAAGATTTACCAAGCAAATGGAGAACCAAAAAAGCAGGGTTTGCAATCCTAGTCTCTGGTAAAACAGACTTTTCACCAATAAAAATAAAAAGAGACAAAGAAGGGCATTACATAATGGTAAAGGGATCAATGCAACAAGAAGAGCTAACTATTCTAAAAAATATGCACCCATTATAGGAGCACCCAGATATATAAAGCAAGTTCTTAATGACTCACAAAGAGAATTAGACTCCCACACAATAATAGTGAGAGACTTTTAACACTCCACTGTCAATATTAGACAGATCAACAAGACAGAAAATTAACAAGAATATTCAGGACTTGAACTCAGATCTGGACCAAGTGGACCTAGTAGACATCTACAGAACTCTTTACCTGAAATCCACAGAATATACATTCTTCTCAGCACCATATTACACCTACTCTAAAATTGACCACATAATTGGAAGTAAATCACCCTCAGCAAATGCAAAAGAATGGAAATTGTAACAAACAGTCTCTCAGATCATAGTGCAATCAAACTAGAACTCAGGATTAAGTAACTCACTTAAAACGGTGCTACGTGGAAACTGAACAACCTGCTCTTGAATGAAATAATGAAATGAAGGCAGAAATAAAGATGTTCTTCGAAACCAATGAGAATGAAGACATAACATATATAACATATGGGAATGTCTGGGACACATTTAAAGCAGTATCTAGAGGGAAATTTATAGCAATAAATGCCCACATAAGAAGTGAGGAAAGATATAAAATGGACACCCTAATGTCACAATTAAGTAGAGGAGCAAGATCAAACAAATTCAAAAGCTAGCAGAATAAAAAGATCAGAGTAGAACAGAAGGAGATAGAGACACAAAAATAACCCTTCAAAAAATCAATACATCCAGGAGCTGGTTTTTTGAAAAGATCAACAAAATAGACCACTAACCAGACTAATAAAAAAGAAAAGAGAATAATTGAATAGATGCAATAAAAAGTGATGGAATATCACCATCATTTCCACAGAAAACACAAACTCTGTCAGAGATTATTACAAACATCTCTATGCACATAAACAAGTAAAATCTAGAAGAAATGGATAAATTCCTGGACACTTACATCCTCCCAAGACTAACCCAGGAAGAAGCTGAATCCCTGGATACACCAAAAACAAGGTCTGACGTTGAGACAGCAATTAATAGCCTACCAACCAAAAAAAGTCCAGGTCCACATATGTGTACAGCTGAATTCTACCAGAGATACAAAGAGGAGCTGGTACCATTCCTTCTGAAACGATTCTGAACAATACAAAAAAAAAAGGGGGAATCATCCCTAACTAATTTTATGAGAGCAGCATCATCCTGATACCAAAACCTGGCAGAGACACAACTAAAAAAGAAAATTTCTGGCCAATATCCATGATGAGCATTGAACGAAAATCGTTAATAAAATACTGGCAAACCAAATCCAACAGCACATCAAAATGCTGATCCATCATGATCAAGTCAGCTTCAACCCAGGGATGCAAGGCTGGTTTAACATATGCAAATCCATAAACATAATCCATCACATAAACAGAACCAAAGACAAAAACCACATGGTTATCTCAATAGATGCAGAGAAGCCTTCAACAAAATTCAACAGCCCTTTATGCTAAAAACTCAATAAACTAGGTATCAATGGAATGTATCTAAAAATAACAAAAGCTATTTATGATGAACCTACAGCCAATATC